GGTGGGGACATGCCCTTGGTGCCCGACGTGGCTGGCACAGGTGGGGCAGTGGGTCCAAAGGTGCACGGGTGGGTTGCAGGGGTGACTTTGGTCTGCCAGAGGGTTTGGGGCTGGGTGGGGAGACCCCAGACTTGAGGGGCATCATGTGGCACATTTGGGAAACAAGGTAGAGTAGGTACAGGAGTGGGAGGGTGGGGGAGACCAGGAGGGGACGCAGCCAGGGCTGGGGTGGCCTCTTTGGTGTGCCGGCACCTGGTGCGGTCCAGGCTGGGATGTCACAGTGCGTTTGTGTCCCCAGCTCTCCATGTACAAACCCCTGAGCTCTATGTACCCCCAAAATAAAGGCCTTGAACAATGCTCGCTTGCGCCTGCGCTCAGCTGGCACGCAGGAGGGAAGGAGAGCACCCCATGGGATGCTGGCATGAGGACAGGAGGCGGCATGAGGATGGGACATAGCACAGCGTTGCCTGCCCCGCTGCCCATGGTAGGAAGAGACCCACCGGTGGCACCTGTGTCCCCGCAGATGGACGAGACCCACTTGGAGCAGCAGCATTTTATTGCCACGGGTGTTTCTGTGGGTGCCGCAGCCACTCCCATCGGTATTTCCCAGCCTCTGGGACTGGGGCAGGGACGCATTGCTTCTCAGCATCACCCATCCCTACGCTTTTCCATCACGCAGGAAAAATGTCCCTGCTGCCCATGGCGAGGGAAGGGAGTTCAGCACCCAAAGGTGTCCAGGCACTGTGGGCAGGGGTATCCCTTAGTGATGGTTCCACCACAGAGCCTGCTGCCAGAAGGATCCAGCTCCTGTCCTTCCCACTGAGACCTTGGCTTTGGTCCCATCATAAGGCCCAGGCTCTTCTGGCTGCGATCTGGGTGCGTGCAGCCCTGTGGGGAAGGGGGACGCTGCCATCGCCAGCCCGCGGCCCCGCTCAGATGTCATCCTCTGTCACCAGGCAGTAGAAGTCCGTGCGGGCGCCGTAGTTTCGTGATCCCAGGTCTGAGATGTCAAGCTCGGGTCTGTGGCCATCCCTCAGCTGCGCGTCGTCTGTCACACCGGCAGCTGAAGCCATGGGAGGGTGGCCAATGCGGGGAGGTGGGGGGCTTCGGAAAATGCCCCCTCGGAGGCCTGGAAGGAGCAGGGAGATGGGTGTCAGGTGGTGGGGAAGGGACTAAACACAGCCCCCCTGCCACAGAAGGGTGAGGGCAGAGCCCAGACGTGGTCTCCAGTCCATGTCTTTTTCCCCAGGAGAAGAAGCAGGGGACAAGGACCTGTGCCAAGGTCCCCATCCGGGTGAAGGTCTCCACCACTGTCCAGGTAGCTGCTGTGCAGGATCAGCATGGGGTCCTTGTCCTCCTGCAGCTGGGTCTGCGGGTCCCCCATGGTCCCCTGGAAGGACACCTTGCGGGGCAGGGCCAGGCACAGCTCCTTCCAGAAGTCCGACGATGGGGTCTGCACGGGGCAGGGAAGAGATGAACCACACTAGGACCACCATAAAGCCAGGCCTGGTCCCGCACGGGGCTGGGGAAGGCTTTGTAGGGCTCAGCTCACTCTCACTGGCACTGGGAGCTCAGCCAAGACAAGGGCTGTGCTCCTGGCTTGGCAGCGCACCAGTGGAGAAACCGGCCCAACCTGCTGAAACGCTCCTGAGGGCTCCAGCTCCCAACCTGGCCCCGAAATGGCCACAGCAGCCACGGGCCAAAGCTTTGCTCCAAGAGCTGCAGCTTCACCCCAGTACCTGGGCCAGGGGAGATCCCGGAGTGGCACAGTGCTCCTGATCACGCAAGTCTGGGGAGTGAGCACCCACCTCTGGGGCTGTTTCTGTTGGGTTTTTTAAATTGCCTCTAAAAGACGCATGCCCTAACTTGCTTTTTAGGAGCACTGAAGTATGGGGAGCAGCCCCAGAGCACTGTGGGGAGGCTGATACAAAGCAGGGTGCTGAGGATAGAAAGGGGGGGTGCCAGCAGCACAGAGTCGCACTCAGCTCTCACCATGGAGCCTGCTCGCCACACCAGCAAGGTCACCACGCTCCGGTGCTGCTTCAGCAGGCTGATGGCAGGGTGGGTGATCTCCCGGTACTGGCTCTCAAAGACGATGAAGATGGGTTTCTTGGAGAGCTCCAGCAGCCTCCAGAGCCCTTCCCTGTGAGACAGGCATGTGGCAGAGGGGCAAAGGACCCGCCGGCTCCTCTCTCCCAAGAGCCGCTCCTACCTGAAGCTACTGTTGCACCAGTCCTGCTCCAGGTACGCGACGGAGAGGACCACAATGAGACGCCGGCATCGGCTCACGTTCATGATCAGGTCAGCCGAGGGCTCTGCAGGCAAAGGGATTTCAAGCCCCTGTGCACTGGTGTTGCCCCTCTGCCCGACTCCCCATGGGTCTGGTGCCTACCTGAGTTGGGCAGGATGGTTTGCTCGTCCAGGAAGAGCTTGTAGCCGTAACGGTTCTCCAGCTGCGGCTTCATGATGAAGTTGACAAACTTTCGGTCATCCGGGGCGGTGGCGTGGGAGACGTAGGCATCGTACAGCTTCCCATCTAGGGAGAGCCATGGGGAAAGGGGGGTTGTAACACCGGGGAGGGCTCTGCATGTCAGCGAGGCTATTCCCAAGGTGGGCTTCACCTCCATACCCTTCTCACCATTGATCTCCAGCTCGCCGTAGCGGTTCCGGTACCAGAGGAGCACGCTTAGGCGACATCGGACATAGAGCACAGCCACAAGCACCAGAAGTGCCAGGACCAGGAGAGCTGCCAGCACTGCGGGCACATGCCCTGCTGTCTCTGTGAGGACAGGGAAGGGCACAGTGAGCACGGCTGGTGACTCCTGGCCCAGGTTTTCTGGGTTTGGTGTGGGTTTGCACCCCTATGTGCTGCCCTGGGAGAGACTCTGATACCCCTAACACCCTCCTTGCTGATCCCCATGGGATCCCCATTCCTGCCCCAGGCAAGTGGGTCCTCCTTGGAGGTCCCTTCTCTGTCCCCAGCGTGTCCCTACCTGCTCGCCGCAGGGTGAAGGTGGCTGTGGCATTGCTAACCCGGCAGGCAAACACCCCAAAGTCAGCATCATGCGTGAGGTTGAGCTGCAGGACACTGGTGAGGAGCTGCTCCGTGGCATTTTGGCCAAACCTGGGGGAGAGATCGGCCCACCATGGGTTGGACTATGCAGCGACTCACCCCAGCAGACAGACAGACAGACGGACATGCCCCAGGGGGCTCCTTACCAGGTGGTGTCCTGGCTGCTCTCACTGCCCAGCCACTGCCCATCTTTGGTCCAGGCAGGGACAGGCTGGCAGTGCTCAGTGGCTGCCCAGCGCACGGTGCAGTTCAGTGCAATCTGGCTCCCCAGCGCCAGCTCCAGCGTCTCATTGGCAGCCGGGACAAGGATTTTGGGGGGCACGCTGCAAAGATCTGGGGGCACAGCAGGAGAGGGGTTTCAGATGGGAAAGCTGATCCAGCTCCTGGCTAAGCGGGTATCTGTTGGAGCCATCCCGGCTTCGCTGGAAAAACAAGCTCTGCCATGGGGGTCTGGCAGCGAGCGGCGCTTGCAGCTGTTTTGCAACAGGCTGAGCCGGTTTTCAGGGCTGGGACAGACCCTCACCCACCCTATGAGGCAAAGCAGGAGCAGTGAGCAGGACCCCGTGCCATGCCTGGCAGTGAGGCATCCTTCGCAGCTGAAAACAGGTGAAAGTTTTGATTTTGCAGCCTACCTGTCATGGTGTGCTCAGGCAATGCGTGGTGGAGCTGCCGGCATCGCTGGCGGGCTACCCGCGACAGGAGGGCCCCGTGGCACGGCGTTTTCCGGGGGTAAAGTCCATCGGCCGCCACCGCAGGGCGGGCTGGGCCTGGAACAGATCAGAAACGGCACCGTGAGTGGTGACTGTGGCACAGGGAGCGTCCCCGCAGTCTCCATCGCTCCCTGCAGCGATTTGGGTTGGAGGACATTGGGTGCTGCTCCAGCGCAAAGCCAAAGCCGTGTCCCGGCCAGGGTTTGGTGACCCAGCTGTGTCACCTGCCCTCCCTATGCAACATCAACTCACAGCCTGGCTTTCCCAACCATGAATTTACAGGCAGGAGGTGATTAATGACCAAGCGGGGGGCTGCAGGTCGTTAAAAACACGGCTTCGGCTCAAACCAGAGACCAGCGAGGGGAAACGAGAC